CATTAGACGAGACCTCTCCAACTTAACGTTTAGGTTCAGTGTGCCTCTAACCATTCGGTGATCGCTACCAGTTTTCACCCTCGCGATCACGGACACATCACTGAACAGTTGTCGTCTGGTCGTCATAATGAAGTCAATCTCATTTTTTATCGAACCGTTGGGGCTCGACCAGGTCCACTTCCTGTGGCGCCGCTTCTGGAAGAAAGAGTTCATCATAAAGAGTCCCTCTTTCTCCATGAAGTCGGCCAGCTGCTGGCCCCTTGGGTTCCGTTGCCCTATTCCAAATTTCCCTACTTTCAGCTCACCGTTCTCTCTTGTACCTAGTTTTGCATTAAAGTCTCCCATTAACACCGTATATTTGGTTTTGGAGGAATGCATGGCTCTAGAGATATGCTCATACATTTCTTCCACCTCCTCATCGGGGTGTGCCGAGGTTGGTGCGTAAACCTGTATGACCTTCAGCGAATACCGTTTGGTGATTCTGAGTATAAGGTACGCAACCCTCGTCGACACACTCCCGATCTTTACAACGTTGTTAACAAGAGACTTGTGGACGATAAATCCGACACTTTCTTGGGACAGTTGGTCGCCCTCCCAGTGATAGAGCAAGTTGCCGGATTCGAGGACTAACGTGTCCTCCCCCTCTCTTCGGACTTCGGATAATCCTATAATATGCCAGCGAAACTTGTCTATTTCTTCTTCCAGCTCCACGATCTTCTCGTCAGTCATCAGGGTGCGTGCGTTGTACGTTGCCAGGTCGAGTCGTATAAGGTGGCAACCGAAGCTCCACCGGAGATTCTTAGCACCCCCTGCCCCGCCGTTACCATGGTCGCCACCGTAGCCAGGAATTGCGGGGCCGCCGGGGACTGGGGGCCGTCTGTTTGTTGCTTTAGTCATTGGGGGGTATTTGCCATAGTTGCCACGCTTAGCGAGCGAGTTGGCAACCGCAGTTTTTTTATTGTAATTTTGGCTATTATCAGGAAGATGCTGCTGCCCATCTCCTACCTGTTTCCCTTTGTCGCCTTTTACGACACCCACGGGAGGATATGGGGTAGTGGATATTCTTGACCGCCACTACACGGCCTACATTAGACCCCGCCAATTTTAGACCTATTTCTGTACTACTAACACTTAGTAAGATTTTTGAAAAACTTGTTCTTGATCAAATGTTAATTTTTTTTATATAAATAATTTACTTCATAAAAATCAATTTGGTTTCACAAGGGGTCGCTCGACAACTGATGCCGGTGTTGAGCTGATTAAATATATCTTTAATGCATGGGAGAATTCACGGGATGCTTTGGGTATATTTTGTGACCTATCCAAAGCCTTCGATTGTGTTCACCATGAAACATTAATCAGGAAACTTCAACACTACGGTGTAAGAAGTGATGCCCTTAAATTAATTATTTCATATTTAAGTAAGAGAACGCAAAAAGTTGTCATTAACAATATGAGCTCTTAAGGATCGATGGTACAAATGGGCGTGCCTCAAGGCTCAATTCTCGGCCCCTTTCTGTTTCTTGTATACATTAATGACTTACCTTACATAGTAGGGGATAACCATGATATAGTATTATTTGCAGATGACACTTCTTTAATTTTCAAATTAAGTCGACCATATCTAAATTAGTAAATTGGTTCGATGTTAATAATTTGCATTTAAATGACACTAAAACAAAATTAATGAAATTCGTGACTCCAAATGTCAAACAATTAAATACTAATGTAATTTTAAATGGGGAGAAACTGAGTCTTATAGATACCACCATTTTTCTTGGAATCACACTAGACGCGAAGCTTCAATGGAGCCCCCATATATCAAAACTAGCAAGCAGACTTAGTTCTGCAGCATATGCTGTAAAAAAGATTAGAAGTCTCACCAGTGTTGAAACAGCTAGACTAGTTTACTTCAGCTACTCCATAGGATAATGTCGTATGGTATTTTGCTATGGGGAGACGCAGCTGGCACTGAAATTATATTTGTTTTGCAGAAGAGGGCCATAAGAGCAATTTATGATTTAAAGCTAAAGAGTCGCTGCGACAAAAATTTAAGGAAATTAATATATTAACTTTGGTCTCTCAATACATTTATGAAAATGTAATGTACGAACACAAAAATAAAAGTAGTTTTACAAAAATAAGTGATATTCATTCTGTAAATACTAGGAACAGACACAAGCTAGTAGTACCAGTTACTCGACTCCATCGAGTCAGTAATTCATTCTTGGGGCGATGTATACGCTTTTACAACAAAATTCCAGAAAATATACAAAGTTTGACCTGTTCAAAGTTCAAAAACTTTATTAAACTAAGTTTGTATAAAAAAGGTTATTATAATAATAAGGAATTTATGGATGATAATGTTACGCGCCACTATTAATGTCTTGTACATGGCAACACTAGTTACACTAGCGCCCTCTAGTGTCGAGTAAAAGAAAGTGTTGCGCGCCACTATTAATGTCTTGTACATGGCAACACTAGTTACACTAGCGCCCTCTAGTGTCGAGTAGCAGAACTAGGAGAGTCGAGATCCTTCCACAAATTTCGGGACCGATATGTACTCGAACATTCTAGATGTCGCTACAGTGGAAGGTTCTGGAAACTGTCTGAGGCCCTATATAAGGCCGGTATGGACCACGACCAGGGCAGTATTGAATTGGCGATACAAGAGAATACTTCGAAGCGAAATAACGGCGAACTGTGTTTTTAGATTGTAATTAGTGTTGTGTAATTAAAGTGTCAATTTTGGTTATTCGATCGGCAGTTTTTAATTGTCTCGAACCTCAAGCTCGTAACAATTGGTGTCAGAAGTGGGATCAAATATGCCGATTTTACCTAAAGACGACACGGAGGGTATCCGTACCCGAAGTCAACGCCAACAGGAGACGGACCAGAGACGATTTGGTAATGCAACGCCGCAAACGTCGGAGGGCGAGCTGCTAACCACGGAGGCCGGCCCGTCAGCAGCTCCTGCATCTGTAGCACCTGACTTAGGTGCTCTGATGATGATGCTGCAGGATCAGGCTCGCCGACAGGAGGAACAGGCCCGCCGACAGGAGGAACAGGCCCGCCGACAGGAGGATCAGACCCGTCGGTTGGAAGAGCAGCTGCAGCGCGGTATGGAAGAACAGATGCTCCTCAGGAAGGACCTTCACGCTACCTTCGGGAAAGAGATAAAGGAGGTGAAGGATAGGGTTGCTCAACATGACAACCGCCTGTCGGAAGCTGAAACCCGAATCGACCAAGTGAACAATCGGGTTGACAGCGTGATGGCTGATGTGAAGAAAACGCTGGACGACCTCAAACTTGGGGATGAAATTACAGCTCCCGTAGTAGCTACAACACCTTCGCTACGTGAATTCAAAGTACCGCCGTTCGACGGGAGTTCTTCCTGGTCGGCCTACAAAATCCAGTTCGAGGCTGTCATGAAAGCGAACGGCTGGAATAAAAGTCAGGTTATGACTGCTCTCACCCTAGGCCTACGCGATCAGGCATTAACTGTTCTGGAAGCTCTCGGTAAGGAAGTGACTTACGAGCAGCTCCTTGAGGCATTGGAGGCGAGATATGGCGATGCTCACCTGGAACACGTCTTTCGTGCGCAGCTCAAAGATCGCGTGCAACGCAGTAACGAAAACCTGCAGCAGTGAGCCCTTGAGGTGGAGAAGCTGGTTCGAAAAGCGTACCAGTCTGTACCTGCGCTCATTGTAGGGAACCTGGTGCAGACATTCATCGACGGCATCCGCGACCTTGAAGTCAGAGCTGCTGTGAGCCTCGAGCACCACGAGACGCTTAAGGACGCTTTGGCCCATGTACTGGAGGTGGAAGCCGTGTGGCAGGATCATCGTTCCCACCGCGTCAGGGAGGATGTAGCAGCTACAGTTCAGGACCGCAATAAGGGCTACAGCCCTAGGTGCTACGGCTGTGGGGAAAGGGGCCATCTTCGATCCAGCTGCCCTAAACGAACTGTAGAAAGGGAAGGTGATCGATATCGAGGGGGTAGTGTGGCTGACAGCACCGCCCAGCAGCAGCAGGGAAACTGGCGGGTGCTGGCTGATGTTAAAAGAGCCCCAAGGATTTCGATCTCACAAACCCGTGATGGAAACAGCCTGATCATCAAGGGCGAGGTCAACGGTAAGCCGTGTAAACTGACCATAGACACTGGAGCCTCTCGCACGGTTGTCAGTTCCCAACTTATAAATCAGTTTCTTGGGGACTCCGCATACAACCGCGAACGCATTAATTTGGTGACAGCCACCGGTCAGCGCATATCCGTCCGTGGAGAGAAGGAGATGGAGTTGAAGCTAGGCAGCATGATCTACCTGCATAATGTCATCGTGACTGATATAATAGACGACTGCATCCTGGGCCTAGACTTTATGAGGAAGAATTGTTGTGAGATCGACGTTAAGCAAGGTGTTTTGAAATGTGGACAAGAGGAACTTTTCGTGGAAGGGGCGTTACCAGGGAATGTGTACAGCCTTAAGAAGATTGTTCTTCCGCCGGGATCGGAAACGATTGTGCCGGGTAGTCTTCCTCGGAGTCCTGGGCAAACTCATCGTTGTGTACTCGTGGAAAGGGTAGACAATGACTTTCCATGGAAAGTGGCTCGAACCTTGTTCAGAACCACCGACATCTCAGGAGTACGTGTGTTGAACCTTTGTGATCAGGGACAGATTATAGAAAAAGGCACATTGGTTGGTACTAGTGAGGAAGTGGATTGGTTGCGTCGGTGCGAATATCTATCGACCGGGACCCCCAGCAAGGATGGACAAACGAGAGTGACTACACTTTTAGAAGACTGTCGCAGCATTCTTTCCCCGAATGAAATGGTCAAGACGAAGAAGTTTTTACTCAAGTACTCCAATGTTTTCTCGTCAAACGAAGCTGACATAGGAAAGACTGGCTTAGTTCAACACAAAATAAATACAGGACAAGAATTGCCTATTCGTCAGCGGCCAAGAAGATTGCCTGTAGCACGTGAAAAGGAAGTGGAAACCATGATTGAGGGAATGGTGAAGGATGGTGTTATTGAACCTTTATCTAGTCCATGGTGTTTACCTGTGGTGCTGGTAAAGACGAAGGACGGCAGCATGCGGTTTTGTGTGGACTACCGCCGCCTGAACGACGTTACAAAGAAGGACAACTTACAAGAATTGATGGACATGCTTACAGGCGTAAAGTGGTTTAGTACGCTGGATCTGAAAAGTGGCTACTGGCAGGTTGAAATTGACCCTAAGGGCAAGGAGAAAACTGCATTCTCCACAGGAAAGGGCCTGTGGCAATTTAAAGTCATGCTGTTTGGATTGTGCAATGCTCCAGCAACGTTTGAAAGGTTGATGGAGCTTGTACTTACCGGGCTTATTTGAGATGCCTGTCTCGTCTATTTGGATGACATCATCATCGTACGCCGTACGTTTGAGGAACACCTTCAAAACCTGGAACGCGTGCTCATGAAGATCCAGAGTGCCAACCTCAAGTTGAGTCCAAAGAAGTGCTCACTATTCAAACGGCAAGTTAGTTTTTTGGGGTATGTAGTGTCGGAAGAAGGTATCCGCACGGATCCAGAGAAAATTGCTGCTGTCAAGGAGTGGCCGGTCCCAAAAGACAAGACACAGGTTAGAGCATTTTTGGGTTAGTGCTCTTATTATCGGCGATTTGTAAAGAACTTTGCAGATATAGCCAAACCTCTGCACAAGCTAACTGAGGAGAAGCGACAATTCTGCTGGGATGAAAGTTGCGATATTGCATTCCAAGAGCTCAAGAACCGTCTGTGCAAAACGCCTATTTTGGGGTACCCTGATGCGGGCAAGGAATTCATAGTTGACACAGACGCAAGTGATATAGGACTTGGCGGTGTGTTGTCTCAACGGAATGGTGATCAAGAGATTGTGATAGCGTACTTCAGCAAGTCGTTGTCAAAGCCGAAAAGGAACTATTGTGTCACAAGACGGGAATTGCTTGCTGTGGTAAAGTCCTTGCAGCATTTTAGCAAATATCTTCTAGGGCGGAAATTCCACTTACGATCTGACCATGCTGCACTGAAATGGCTATTGCAGTTCAAAAATCCGGAAGGACAAGTTGCGAGATGGATTGAACTACTGCAGGAATACGACTTTGTGATCAAACATCGCAGCGGGAAATCTCATGGCAATGCAGATGCATTGTCAAGAAGACCTTGCCCTGAAGATTGCAAGCATTATACTAGGCAAGAGTGTAAGGAAGTGGTATCTGTGAGAATGCTCAGGACAGACCAGCTCAGCAATGAGTGGAAGGACAGCCTACAACATGCACAGCAGGAAGATTCGGACATTAAGCCGATTCTGGCATGGATGAAGGCCAGTGCTCCTAAGCCCAAGTGGAGCGACGTCTCAGCAATGAGTTCGACCACGAAAAGCTATTGGGCCCAATGGGACAGCTTGCTGATTCAGGATGGAGTCCTGTGCCGTAAATGGGAAAATGGTCGGGGAGACAGGTGTCATTTGCTAATGGTTGTCCCTAAGGCTAAAGTGCCGGATATTCTACAGCTGTACCATAGTGGTTGTTCAGGAGGCCACCTGGGAGTTAAACGAACTCTCCTGAAGATCCGAGAACGGTTTTACTGGGTCCACTGTCGTGACGATGTCGAGGACTGGTGCCGCAAATGTACAAGTTGTGCGGCTGTAAAGGGACCTCAAATTCGTAGTAGAGGCGCATTGAAATTGTACAATGTTGGTGCACCATGGGAGAGGATAGCCATTGACGTTGCGGGGACGTTTCCTGAAACTGAAAGTGGTAACAAGTATTTCATGGTTGTGATGGATTACTTCACTAAGTGGCCAGAATTCTTCGCCATTCCAAATCAAGAAGCTTCAACCGTTGCAGATAAACTAGTTCATGAAGTCTTCTGTCGTTTTGGAGTACCTTTAGAGATTCACAGCGATCAAGGAAGGAATTTTGAGTCTCAAATATTCCAGGAAACTTGCCGAGTTATGAGTACTCAGAAAACACGAACAACTTCTTACCACCCACAATCTGATGGAATGGTAGAAATATTTAATCAGACATTGGAGAGGTACCTAGCAAAAGTTGTGGAAAAACGGCAACGAGACTGGGACAGGCACATACAACCGTTTTTGTTGTCATATCGAAGCGCTGTTCACGAAAGTACATCAGTGACACCAGCTTTCTTAAACTTTGGGAGAGAATTGCGGCTGCCTGCAGACCTGATCACCGGAATACCACCTGATGCCCCACGCAGTATAACCGATTATGCAAATGACTTGCGGAACAAAATGAATGACATTTATGAGCACGTCAGACAGACGGGCCAGCAAACGTCTGAGAAGATGAAAACACGGTATGACCGCAAAATGAACAACAAGGGGTTTGATGAAGGTTCACTAGTGTGGTTACACAATCCAGTTCCCAGCAAAGGGAAATCTCCTAAGCTTCAAGCTAAATGGGACGGACCGTACCGGATTGTGACAAGGATCAATGACGTAACCTACCGGATACAGAAAGGTGTCAGAGGTACTCCTAAGATTGTCCATGTGGATCGACTGGCGCGTTATTATGGGGCCAATAATGCTCGGGACGAGCATGTCTTAAGAGGGGGCAGTGTAACGCGCCACTATTAATGTCTTGTACATGGCAACACTAGTTACACTAGCGCCCTCTAGTGTCGAGTAAAATAAAGTGTTGCGCGCCACTATTAATGTCTTGTACATGGCAACACTAGTTACACTAGCGCCCTCTAGTGTCAAGTAGCAGAACAAGGAGAGTCGAGATCCTTCCAGAAATTTCGGGACCGATATGTACTCGAACATTCTAGATGTCGCTACAGTGGAAGGTTCTGGAAACTGTCTGAGGCCCTATATAAGGCCGGTATGGACCACGACCAGGGCAGTATTGAATATATGATACAAGAGAATACTTCGAAGCGAAATAACGGCGAACTGTGTTTTATTATTAGTGTGATTTTAGATTGTAATTAGTGTTGTGTAATTTAAGTGTCAATTTTGGTAATTCGATCGGCAGTTTTTAATTTTATCGAACCTCAAGCTCGTAACAATAATAACCCCTGGAAATGAGGTGATCGCTACCAAGCTATTTCTTATTTGTTGTGTTGTTAATTTGTGTAACATCATGATTGTAAGCTTTTTTAAAAAAAATTAAATTTAAAAAAAAGTCCCGCTGGGTTTCTTGCTGGTTCTTCCCAGGACAGAGGTTTTTTCCGAACCAGTGGTAATCAAACAAAAGAGTGACTTTCAATAAGTATTATTTATAATCTATATTGAATAAAAAAGTTTTGTTTCTGTTTCATAACTGTTAACAAAAACTGTTTCTGCAAATGGTCTTATAGATAATAATAACTATTCCGCCGTGTTAGGTGCAGTAGCTATTATTAGAGGGAGAAGAGGTAAAATTTTGTTTTAGAGATGCGCTATCAATATTGTTATTGTCTGCAATGAGCATAAAATAAAAAAATAACTTCAGCCAAAGAGCATAACTGGCATTATAATCAGGCCCATCAATTGGTATGGAAAAAATAATTTTACCAGGTTTGAAAAAATCAATCAAAATTCAAAAGAACATAAATATTAAAATAAAAAAATGTATATATGTATGTCTATACATACATATAATGATTTGTGGCCGCTTAGAAACTGACGGTGACTCAGTATAACATCCTACAGTCACGCCGAAACTAAGAGGAGAGAATCACTGTAGAAAAGGTAATAATTTATTGCGGAAATTTTGTGATAAAATTAAAAACTTATCCAAGTTAATTTAACTTAGTCTAACTTATCCTTATGCGTTACAAAAAAAAACAATAAAATAGTGATATGGCGTCAGTTTTTAAGAAAATATAACAAAAATTAAGAAAAAAATAAATTTCAAAAAAGTTCAGTATTTAATTGATAATATACCGCTGACACTTAATCAGGCTTTTCGAAACCACGCCAGTTGTAAACAATACTTGTGTAAAAAGACAAATCTTATTTTAAATTTCCGCCGAGTTGTAAGTAGAAGGCCAAATAGGTCATGTGTCAATTTTAATTAAATATATTATATGAAGTGATCTTGACTACGTTTCATCAATTAAGCATTGGTAAAAATGAAAACAGGAATTTTACAATTTTGTTTCCAAGAAACATTATTAGTTGATCCTTACAGCTTGTTCATTATTTTTATTATAAATACCTATAAATGTATATTTTATTAATAAATAGTTCCCGTAATATTTTGGATTATTTTTTATTTTTCCCTATCTGCAATGTTCTACGCTCTATAGAAAATGTGGCGTATGACATGACTGACAATCTTTCGAACGTTTTATCTAGGTAAAAAAATGTTTTACGTTTTCATCGCCTCCATATGATATTTTTGTCAGCATAAGGTACCCTTCTGTATCTGAAACGAATATAAATATTGCTACAAAGTAAAGTAAAAGGCTATACAAGTCCCTCTCTCACACACAGGGCACAGGACTCTTTTTTTATTTCTAAGAGGGTTTTAGGGCAAGGAAATACCCGCCGCGCTACCCGAATGCGTGTTGACGAAAATTGCAATTACAAATTTTATTCGTGCTGTCGGGGATCAAACCCGGGAAAAATTTACAGCGAACGCTTTGACCCAGATCTGCTAATACGATACAAATAAATATGATTTAACATATATAATTAAAAAAAACTCTTACGTACTTGAAACTTGAACACTTGATAGCTCGTGACGCCTACCGGTTAAAGCTACAGCACAATGTAATTGAAGATGCGTAACCGCGACATAATTCTCAGTGATGCGCAAGCATAACAGGCAGTATGTCACTTATATAATTGTCATCTCTGCAGTCTATTAATCTTCGCACTTTTATAAGTAATGCAGAACGTAGTTGCTAGACGGTGTTGACGTCGGCTAAAATCTCTGCGATCGCCGTTTCTTCAAGGTCATTCAGGCTAGTTAAAGCCTTAAATACAATTTGTTTATTAATAAATGTGCTCGTTCATAATGCAAACCTTACTAAAGTATTTACAACATTATAATAATATTCTATTTTATTATAATACTATACTTTGGACAATTTATACAAAATATCATGTCAAATAAAAAGAATATTGATTTTAAAAATTGTGTTACCTAAACGACAAAAGCAAGGGAATCATTGCGGCACCGTTAAATAATTTTCTTCAAAGCTTCAAATAAATTGTCTGTTTTTCTAAAACCTTTACAAATGAATGTAAATTTATTAAATTTGTAAGTACATATGTTTTAAATCGTATCAGTCTCTCACATTTTGATTTGAGTAATACCAGGAAGCATTTCGAATCGTTTTTAAAATGCAAATTGACTCGCGAGTAAAAACCAACAAATGCTTTAAAAGCGACCT